CTCGTCGGCTGGAGATGGATGGACAGGAGAAACTATATGGTGGAATCCGAGCACAAGCGGGAGCTTCTCGAGGTGGCGATCCTGGAGAACTAGAAGGGCACGAAGGGGATCTACCTGCGGCGGATCGGGAAGGTGCGGGAGATCTCCCACGTGAAGATCGGGGGGAGCATGTGCCTTTGGAGGATCGAGATCAGGGCCGAGGTGGAAGCTTCGTGGTCTATGGAGACAACTCCAGTGCGATCACGATAATTGAAAGCGCAGATGGGCCTTGGCGTACAAGGCATCTTCGGCTGAGAGCGGAAGTTTTACGAGAAAAAGTGAAATGCGAGCGGTGGGCGGTGAGACACCTTCCGGGTACGAGATTGGTAGCAGACTATCTCACGAAGGCGATGACGGCAAAGGCGCAGTGGCCCAAGTTCTACGAGCTGGCAGGCATGGTCATGGCGGAACCGGACGACGTGGGACCAGCGGCCGAGAGCCCCGCCCAGCAGAACCTGAGCAAATTGAAGCTTGCGGGCCTGGCGTTGGTCATGGGGAAGGTGGTCAACTGGAGCCCAGACCAAGCCGAGGACGTGATGGTGAAGAATCTGTGCCTGGCTGCCTTGGGTGTAGGGGTAGCTTACGTGGCCACGCAGATCAAACGTGGTCACGGTGTGAGCAAAATCAAGAAAGGAGAGACAAGATCCCCTAGGGAAGATGAACCAGGGGCAGGGAAAGGGCCTAGGGTCCCTGAACCAGGCCCCCCAAGGGAGAGCTCAAGGGACCATGAACCTGAGCTCTCAAGAAAGATGTCCAGGGAAAATGAACCGGGCAGAAGAATAGCCAAGATGGGCTGGGGTTTTGGGGGTAAAGCGGGGAGTTGTGCCTCGAATGAACAGGGACCCCCCCATCTAAAAGGTCAATCACTGCCCTGAGGGCTGCCCCGCTAGGAAGGAAGGTTCCACGGACAGCCAGCCATGGTTCTTCGAACGTGGGGTCGAAAGGCCCCCCAATGATGACCCGAGATTTTCCATAGAAGAGGAGCCCGAAGACTTCTGGGACGTGGAGGTCAACGAGAGGGAGATGGTCATGACGCGCATTCATATGCTGCCACGGCATGGGGATTATCAGCCCCGAGCCGATGCCCTTCCTCCCGGAGCTTCGCTGGAAAGGCTGGAGCAAAGACGGCAGACGAACATCGTCTACGAGGACATGGATCTGGGGCGCCGGTTCATCACGGACAGATGGAGCGAGGAGGCCTTCAGGTTCAGGAATGCGTGGAGAGGAGCGACCACGTTTTGGATGCCATTGGAAAGAGAGGTCATGGAGGGGGACGCCGCAGCCCCTCAATTTCGAGATGCTGACCGGGGAGTCGGTTCGCGGACGAGGTCGTTGGCCCCGAATGGGGAGGCGGAACTCACGAGGCCGGTGCGGCCGCGTCTTCAAGCGTTGCGGTTTCAGGAGGTGAAGGTCATGAAGGCAGAAAACCTAACCCTGGGGCCTGCTGGAGCCGGAGGTGATGACCCGGCTGGAGATTGGCAACCGTCGATCGATGAAGATCCGGAGGATCATTGGGAAGTAGAATTCCTGCCGGGAAACCTGATTATGGCGACGAGGATTCACGTGGTGGAGAGGATCCGCTCTTATGAGCCTGACCGCCGGGACTTGCCGATCGGCGTATTCTTGGAGGACTTCCTGGACAGGAGAGAGTCCTTCATCAACCCGGTGAACCACAGGGAAGAGACACCCCGTGGGATATGGGGCGAGGTCGTCGATGATAATTGGCGGAGGGACCGGTGGTTGAGAGAAGGCTGGACGGGAAGCTCGCGATTTTGGGTGAGGCCGCGGAGGAGGGAGATCATCTTCGAGGTTCGACCCTTGACCGACCAGGAGCGTCAGGACGAGATGGACCACGATGACACTGGGGATCCGGGGGCATCTGGCAGCGGGGGCGCTTCAAGTTCGGGGGCGGCCACATCGATGACGGGATCGACTACCAGGCCTGCGGATACCTTAGCGACGGGAGATCAGAAGAGGCCGAGGACCTCGAGGTGCGTCGGGAAGAAGGAGTCCTACGTGCTCTACGCCGTGGAGAAGGATTTCCTGCGAAGAATTTTCATCCTGGTGGTGATCTTCAGCATGGCCGTGGGGACGTGCGCTCAAAACCAGGAAGAGCAAGAGGAGGATCAGATGCTGTGGTGGATCATTTTCGTCACGGCATTGCTTGCGGTGGGGATCTGGGAGATCCTGAGACGTGGTTTTCGTAGCGAAAAAAGGAGTGAAAGCCAAGACCCTTTTCAAGATCAGGGCTCCAATCAAGAGACTTCCCCGGAAGGGTTTAAGGGCAGCCCGCAAGAGAAGGAACCGGGTTTTCCAGGGAGCTCTAAACAAGACAAGAGACAAGAACCGCAAGAAGAGGCCAGAGGGCCCACCGAAAGAGACGGAGTGGAAGGCGGCTCCACAGGAGGACCAGGACTGAAACCGGACCCTTGGCCTGCGGAAAGGCGTCTCACCACTAGCCCATTGAGGCTCCCGGGTAGAGAAATTGCTTGTAGGACTGTAGGAGAAGATGGTCGCCTACGAGACGTCATGGTCCCGAAGGGCGCCTTGAGTGATCCGGCGAGGATGGCGTACTTCAAGAACATGGCGGTGCAATCATGGAAGAGGTACTGGTATACTTTGAAAAGAGAGGAGGCAGAAAGACGAGGCTTTCGGGGACCGGGAGAATTCCGACTCTCTCCCTGGGAGGACATCCCGAGCATGCCTTGCGAGATGTGGCCTCATGGGCAACGTGAAGGACAGGGTGAAGGTGATGATCGTCCTGTTGGAGGAGGAGCAAAGCCGTTTGGGAGGGCGAGCTTTGGGCATGGAGATGGAGGTTCTGAAGAACCCAGTGGTGGTGATGGTCGCCCAGGTTCTAGCGGAGGAGATGATCGTCTAGGATCTGGCAAAGAAGAGGATCGCATAGCTGGAGGTGGGAGTGGATCTTCAGCCACGGCAAGTCGAAGGGCACGAGCAGCTGGAGCGGTGGTTCTGAGGGCGGCCTTTCCGGATTGCCCTATGGGCAGCAAGACGTGTGAAGGTCCGAGAGGACCCACCCCTTGCGCTTTTTGTAAGATGGGCTGAAGTGGCCTGTCAAAAATGCTGCGGAAGCAGCAGGGGGAGTGTGTTTGCGTAAGGGCACACTCGACTCCTCGACGAATTTTGGCTCAAGAAAAAGGCTTGCTGTTTAGGGCAGGTCTGAACCCCCTTTTTTAGGTTAGTGATTCAAAGTTTCAAAGCCACAAAAAAGGTACCCCCACAAAGAGACACTCCCGTTTCGGGTCCCTTATTCATACCCTAGGAAGTCTCTGGTTAGCTTCAGCTGGTTTTTGATAAAAGAATGGGGAATCAACCCCAAGGAACGGTCGCAGCCTCCCATTCCCAGCTGATTGGAAGCCCTCGTTTCAAGCTCCAACGCGGCCGACTTTGAAAAGTCGCTCGGCCTACGCCCGGCGGCACCCGGCCAATGAAGACTTCCATCACCTGGTCGCAAAATGGAGCCCAACCAAATGAGTAGTGCCCTTTTGGTTTCTCTTGAAAACAGGCCCCCAGAAAGGGGGTCCAACTCCAAAAACACAGACACAAACACACAAAGCCCGAACAAAGTGAGCTGCGTGTGGCATCGATGCCAGACGCGGAATCTGAAATTTATTCAGTCGACCCGCAGTGGGAGCCACGGGAAACTTGTGGCCGAGGCTTCTTGGCACCAATCACTAGGTTACTACGGCTCCACAGTAGACTATCAGCAGATCCTCCACTATGTCCGTCCCCAAACGATGTATTTCTGACAGTCCCGCAAAATGATGTAGAGCTTAAGATGAACGGGCCACCGATTTCTAAGAAAATGCTTTCACAGTGGCCCGAGGCAATATTCGACACTTCTTTAGCAAAATACGAAGGGTGCGGGTGGAAATGTCCACAGTGGCCACACTTGTGCTGCTGAACTCAAGTTCAAGTCCCGTGACGCACAAATTTGAGAAATATGCCCTGCCAGCCCCCCGGCAATGCCAGCGGGCCGATCCGCCTGGAGGAAGTTGTCTGTCTCAAAGAGCTTGAGTGCGTCAGAAAACAAGCTGGCAGCCGCTCTTTTACGCCTGACTGTGGGTATGTTGGGCTTGTCTTCCAAGTAAAGCGTGTGCCTGCAACATACGAGGCGTCTGCCAGCTTGGGACTCAAAGGTTTGTGTCCTGCGCTGCCGAATGGGCCAACACGCTGCGAAGATTGAGGCAACGTGGAACGATTGGGGTGCACGCCTTGGTCAAATGGTGGTGAACTTTAATCATTTAGGTTGGGATTTATTTCCACCAACCACTTTTACTTTTGATGGTTTTCCTGTTAAAATGCGCAACGTCGAAGCCAAACGAAGTAAGTCGCAGCCCGGATGGGTCACACTGTCACATTCCTTTGGATGGGCCTATGGGACAACTTACGGGATGGCGTCCCCAGGCCTGGTGAGGGCCCACATGAATCGAAAGATCAAACTCCGCTGTTTGCAATGATCTCATAGAAAGGACTTCTGTGTGTAGCTGATTGCTTCCACAACCTGAGGCTGCCAACTGCCAACTGCCAAACTCAAGCTTTGCAGCTGCACTTTGTCATGAGGAGCTCACCTCTTCTCCTAGGTGTTCTTCTGCAAGTAGTCTGAATGACTTTCTCCAGACCAACAAACAAAGATCAATCATCGCGGCCGTCCAACAGCCTTCCGCGGTCCTTCAAGAGTCAAAGGGCATTACATGACGTGTTTTTAAAAGATCCTGCTAGACCAGCTTCAGCGTGCTGGAGCGGTTTTGGCTGTGAATCCTCTGCTGTTTCTTGGGTGAAGGTTTGAGCCACACTAATCGAGTTTGGCTGAAACTGAGAGAATGCTCCCAACATCAAAATGATCCCTCTTCCTGCCATTTGATATCTCTCTCTCTCATGTCCCTCCACCCTCCTCCCTCCCAATGCCATCCGCTCATGTCCCTCATTCACCCTGAGCCTTTTCCTTCGCGAAGGCGAATTCCAGCTCGGGGGTTGAAACTAGCGGCTGATCCGACTGAGGCTGGAAGCTCGCCGCTCAGGCCACTCGGCGCTCGGCGCCGAGCGGGGGGGCGGGACCTCGCAGCGATGGAACGGGGCGAATGAGATGAGATCCAGAGACAGGCGAGGGAATGTACAGGGTCACCGGCTGTTTTTACCCCAAGGTTGATCAATTGACTGGTGGTGTCCATTGAAACAATCGCCACTTTTGGTGGTTCCAAGAAGGGAAATGGAGGAACCCAGAATGTTCCAGAGTCTCCTTTGACAAGAAAAAACTGCTCTCTTCAAGTCAAAGCCACACGATATGGTTCGCTGCCTCTTCCCACCCACTGACTTGCCTTGAAAACGGACAGCTTCTTGATCTTCGGCCGCATCTCCCGGTCGATTGCTTGGAAGACTTGCACGGGGTCGACAGGCATCGCGGACCGCGCCTCAAGCGGCAACAGTTGGGCCTAAGATTCGGGTGGTTGTTTTAGGGGGATCCCTACAGTGGATGGACGAAATCCTGCACCACTTTGAAACCACGGGAAATAATTGTTTGTTGGTATTTACAGGGGAGTCATCATTCCAGGGTTTCCTAGGTGGTGCAGGATTTCGTCCATCCACAGTAGTATTAGTATGGTGGTTGTCCTTGTGGCTTTCCTTTCAAACCACCAAGACAGCGGTACCCTCAAAAAGACACACTCCCATTCGGCTCTAGTTCAATCCACTTGAACAAAACCTGGCCTCCGCTTTCCGCAAGCGGATGGGCAAACAAAACCCATGAGTGTCAGAGCTTTCTCCATACTGTCCAAGATGCAAAGCGACGTGCACACAATTTGTCGAATGAAATCGCGGGACATACTACCTGGCCGCTTCATGGAAAACAACTAGGGACTATCGATGGAAACACTTCTCCCGCGAATCCTGAACATGTTGTCTTGCTTTGTTGTCTTGCTCAAATTGGGCAACTGTGAAACCATGCCTCTCGTGTTTCCATTTACTTGCACTATCTCACCATGTTCATCGCGTTGTATCGCCTTCGGGGTATGTGGCAGGGGTGATGGACCATTTGGTATGGTAGCAAAAAACTGTCTTCTTCTGTAATCCCCTAGTAAAAGTGAATAGAGCCAACAAAACAACTTAGCACATGCCAACAACAGTGAAGCCACCCAACAAGGGTGCTTGAAGCCTCGAAAACCGCACCCTGCCCGGTTGCCCACGACTCCCTTGCTCGCCTCTTTCAGCTCGGCCTCGAGACTTTCCACTCGCCGGCTTTGCCGCGCCAGCTGCTGGTCACCTTGGCCACTGGGTCAGTTGGTGGGGCAAAAAAAAAAACGTACCCCCAGTGAACATCCCAATCCAACCACTATAGACTAAAATGGGTGGTGCACCTTCCAACCAAAATGGGATCCCATTGGTTTTGACCACCACGGCCAGTTCAAGGCGGCTTTTGGCACGGACTTGCATGACACTCCCGCTGGAACTGACGGTTTCTTGCAGCCCTGCAACGAAAAATGCAAAGAAACCAGAAACCTAAAGACATGCCAACAGCAGTCTTCCTACAAGTACTGCAACCAGCCAAAACTCAGCTAGCTTTTCCTTTCTTTGCGAGGCTCAACAAAGGAGCAACCAATGGAGCTAATCCCTCCAAGGCTGCTTGCAAACAGTTGACACATCTGACACTTGATCCTGCAAGTTCTGAAGTCTTGCAACTGTAGCCTCTCGAATGCGTGGTCAAAACTACAGAAACCATCGGAAGCCATTGTTTGTTAGTAGTTACAGAGGAGTCGTCATTCCGTTGGGTTTCTGAAACGTGGTGCGATTACGGGATTTCGCAACCAATTTTAGTATGTTGAAGTATGTTGTTCCCGCAAAGGATAATGGGAATTTTGCGGGCTCGCCCCCTGGCTTTTAGGCAATTCATTCGCGAGCCCGCCCTTGTCACGAACCAAAGGATCGAATGGACCACGGATATGTTGACCGAAGTTCACATGAATGAGGAAGAATCCCCAAGGGGGGGCTTTGACAGCAGCAACTATAAGGGGATGAACTTTAAAGGCGTTTCCTCCTTTCCTGCTGCGAACCACTGGGCTCATAATTTTGACTGTTTTGTTTCTCAAAGTCAGCAAATGGGGATGGGTGTCCCTTTTTCTCATCACTTACGGGGTGACTTAGTGCTGAAAAAAGACTAGGGCCAGAACCGCCAAGTTTCGCCGTTTGGTCCCATCGCTCGCTCCCTTCAAAACCACTACCCTAAAAGAAGGGTATTGACAAAGTAGACCTCTTCAGTGTCCGACATGCCCCCCGCCAACATACCTCCCCCAACCCCCCCCCCCCCAACCCCAAACCCCCCAACCGCCACCTCCTCCCGCACCCCCTCCCCGCCCCCCCATGAGCCGAGCCACGGCTTTCCTGCTGCGCCTTGAGCGCCGCATTCTCCGCCCTGAGCTTCGCGAGCTCCTGGCCCACGCTCTGCAGCCTCGGGCGCCGAAACGGCAGCGGGAGTGTGGGTGGAAATGGGGGGATCGACTCCGGGGGTTGGGGGGTTGGGGGGGAGGGGTGAAGATGGGCTTGGGGGAATTGACTGGGGGGGTTTGGGGGGGGAGGGGTGAGGGTGGGGGATTTGGGGGGGAGGGGTGGGTTCTTGGGGCTCAAAACGGGCGGGAAAAACCGGGGGGGCTTTTGGGAAGAAGAAGGGGGTTGCCTGCTGCGAACCAGCAAGCCATAGGGGCTGAAAAATTAATGGGTCTCCCTAGTATATGGCAAAGACAACCATCTACACCAGTGGAACCCATCTATTTCTATCTAGCCGATCAAAAGGACATGCCTTTCGCCATGGAGTGGATCAAATGAGAAGCGCCCAAAGGCCGCATTGGCGAATGTTGATAGTTCTAAGGCGTACACCGCAGAAACAAAGAGTCATGACTGGGGTTTGGGTCGTTCCGGGGGCACCGAGAGAGAGAGAGAGAGAGCGCTGTTCCCAAGAGTTGATCGCTGATCCAAGCTTAGCTTATCAGCTGACTCTGCACCTCATGAAATGGGTTTGTCTCTAAATGGGGGTGAGGATGCTCCGGAGAAGCAAGGCCTGAAACCTCCGCATGTATACCCGTGCTCTTGATTTTGAGTTGCAAAAGCATCTTGACCAACTGAGTCCAACTAGGTGGGTCTACCCCCGAAGGATTTGTGTCTGGGTTTAAAGGGACACCCAAAGGAAACCCGTTTGGAAACCCATTTCGGGGATTTTCGAAGGGTCCAAATCCAAAAAAAGACGAGCCCAGGTCACTGCATGGCCAAATGGGTCTCAAAATAGGCGCGCCCCCAAAAATGGCGAGCTTCCTTTTGGTGTCCCTTCACGAAAACTTTTGGTGGGTAAACGAGAAAAAAACAACTAAACCAACTAAACACCAAAAAAAAAAAAAACGGAAACTCCCCACCAAACTAACTAAACACCACTAAAAACCCCAAGCAACCGACCTTCATTCCCTGAAAACCGCCGAGTTCCAAAACCCCCCCCCCCCCCCCGCCGGGGAAGTCGTCGGCCAGGCCCCCGGTTGGGGCCCTGCCCTGGGGCCCTGGCTTCATCCTCGCCTCATGGCCGGGGCTTTGGGCCACGCATCGACGAAAACGCGGCGCTCTCTGGGCCCGGATTCGCATCGCCCGGAGTCCGCTCGGAGTTCGTTCGGAGGTGCCGCAACTCGGAAGCCCCCCATCAACAGATATAAAAAAGGGGGGGGGGGGATTTGGGGGAAGGGGGTGGGCCAAAAAAAAGGGGGCAAAGAACTCAGGTGGGTGTTTCCACCTTCAAAAAAAAACTGGCGCAGCGCTCGAAAAGGATCCCACAGCCCTCGTTAACACACCCTGAGCGCTTGGCGAGATCACCCTCGGAGACCTGCGAGGAGCTCGCGCCTTGGCCGTGCCAAAGGGCTTCACATCCCCCCCCATTTTTGTGGAGCCCCCCGAACCAAGCGACCAAGGGCAGATGTTCATTTTTCTCGAGACCAAGGGCATATGTTTCTTCTTTTTTTCGGGACCAAGGGCAAGTGTTGTTTTTGCTCTTCTTATTTTCGGGAAGTCCACAACAAATCGGCGGGAACTCCCTTTGGTGTCCCTTAACAACCCAAAAAAGGGCACCTTTCGCAACCAAAATAACGAGCCACACATTTAGGTTGCAAGAGTTGCAAAAGGGCTGCGAACCAAGCGACAATATCAACATATCAATTGATAGGTGGGCGTCTCTTTTTTGAGCATAGCCCTCGTGGTTCTCAAGGGGAAAACCTAAAGCAAACCCTTGTGCCATTCTGGGGTCTAAAACCCCCCCCCCCCAGACCTACTAAGATGTGCCCTGCGTGCGTGCTTGCTTTTTTTTGAGGAGGGGGTTGGGCTCCCTTGGTTTCCAGATTCAGTCGCAAAGAACCAGCAGCCAGACGTTGATGCCAAGAAGCAACTCTCCGACTGAAGCTCCTTGCAATTGTTGGCTCACAGGACCCTTCAAAAAGGGACTCGGTCCCCGTGTTTGGGTTGTTTCTCCTGCGGCTTTTCTCCAAAGGCTACCAAAAGGGGTTGTGTTTTCCAGTACCCCGCCGGCCCCCCTTTCCCTGGCCGACCATAGTAATAAACCCCCCAACTCCCACCAAGCACCAACCAGTGGAGGCACAAGGACATGGCGCCGGTAAACAACAAGTATCGGATCCCCCAAGAGTCATACTGCGGATCGACGAAATCCATTTGGCAACACAAGAAATCAGGAAATCCATTTGCATGGTTTCAAAGTGGTGCAGGATTTCGTCCATCCACGGCAAGGACGGCAACATTGTGGGGCAAACATTGAACAGGCAGAAAGACCATTTCAGGCTCAATTGTCAGAGTGCCGAAGGGAACACAGGTGGTACATGAACCACATGCTCCAATCCTGTCCTAAGGGGTGTCCGGTATCACCAAAAGGATCAACCCGCCACCGCGCCCCACATCAATCAACCCCCTCCCCCCCAAAGTTAAACCATCAGGAGATTTACCCACCCCCTACTACCCGCTTTTTTTAGGGTATGATGTCGACCCTCTACTAAAAGAGGAGGTATTGACCATGGATTCCCAGGTTTTTGAAAAGATACCCTAGAAAAGATGGGTATTTGGAGAACGGGGCACACCCACTTGGCTCAAAACCATGTCCCAAACTTGCACATTTGGAACTTGAACCAAAGACTGAATAAAACCCGCGTAGCCCTGCTCTTTCTCTGTGACCCACCCTCGACGGTTGGGTCGCTCCAGCCCGAGTCGACTCCTGGAGGAAGGTGTCGTCCCCCCATAGCGCCAAGCGCTCCAAGGCCCTGCGCAAGGCCTCCTTGAGGTGCCCCGACTCCTGGCATCCGAGCCGCTCCAACTCGACTCGGCCTCTCGCCGATTCGGCAAAGCTTGGAGGTGTTCTGGGTCCTCTTTCGTGAGCATGAAGCTGCCTTTCGGGGGGGAAAACGCGGACAGCCCAAACCAACCCAAACCACCCATTTAAAGGGAAACCCCGAATGTCCGATGACCCAAGAAGAAAACCTACTGCTTGGAGTTGGTTCATAAATGGAAAACCGACGAAAAGTCGCTCCCGGATTTTGAGAGGAACTCCCGGTGGAACCAAGAAAACAGAGTCCCTATTTGTGGATGGACGAATTCCTGCACCACTTTGAAACCATGGTTGAAGTCATGGTTTGCTTTTTGTTGGCATCTACGTTGGGAAATCACTACCCTTTTTTACGGCAAAGTAGTGGCGAACTGACAAGTTTGATTGAACACGAGGGTCAAAAGTCAGGGTGCGCTACTTCTAGTATTGGAGTCCGACCGCTTTTTTTGAGGGCAGAACCCAGCCAGATGTCACACCCATTTGGTATAAAAATTGGAACAACATTTGGCGCGCAAAATTGGAATAAATCTAGCAAATTCCAACGGCACGGCCAGATTTATACATACCAATTGTTGCTCTCCCAGATTTATACCAATTTATACCAATTTCATGCCAACTTGGTTCATTCCATTGGGTTTTCTGATTTCGGCGCAGCTTGAGAAGCATCCCTCCGATTCAAGCGCCACATTCCTGACAAATGGGTCAACATCTCACCTGTGAGCTTCACAGAAGTACACTACGCGAGCGCGCAGCAGCTTCTGGCTTGTCAGCGAGCAAGGCCTCCCTATAACATATATATATATATATATGTATATATATAGTATATATACATATTAGGGCCTACCTCTAACAAGAACTCTTTATACCAAGTTTACACCATTTTCATACCAACTGCATACCAATTGCATACCGAGTTTATACCAATTTATACTAAGTACATACCAATGTTATTCCAATTTGTTGAAACAATATCTATACCAAACAAAAGTACCATTTGTTTGCAACTGTATGGCAATTTTCCTGAAACATCTCCAGCCAAAGAGCGACTCTGCCCAATTGGTATAACTTGGTAGTAACTCTGCCCAAATTCGTGGTAAGTCTGCCCCCAAATTGGTATAAATTTGTACAAAGTGGTAGTCACCCTGCCAATAATTGGCAGTAACTATGTCCACGACTGGCATGGAACAACAGCTAGCGCTGGTAGAGAAGGGGGGATATTTATTGATACAGGCCATGCCTGATATATATATATATATATATATACATACATGCATACATTCCATTACATTACATTACATTACATTGCATTG